CGCCTTTCATCCAAAATACAACACTTTTTTAAAATTTATTTCTTGTGGTCCCGTATCCCGTATCACGTCAAAACCTTCCCCCTCCCCCCTTTCAATAAAAAAAAATAAAAAAATAAAAAATCTAGAAAGGCAGAAAGAGAAAGAAATTTAAGACCCCTACACGCCTTTCATCCAAAATACAACACCTTTTTAATTTATTTCTTGTGGTCCCGTATCCCCCTCGCTGTGTTTACATGCTGCAGATTTTCTCGGCCGAAGAAGAAGAAATTTTTCTCACGATTAAAGGTCGGGTTTTTTTAACGAAAATGATAGAAATAATATAAAGAAAGAAGAAAGAAGAAAGAAAATAGATCTAGGGGATAGAGACTAGATAATAGTCTAAAACCCTAGAAAAGAAGGAAGAAGAAAGAAGAAGAAGTTTTTCCTCACGATTAAAGGTCGGTTTTTATTTTCTTTTTTCTTCTCTCTTCTCTCTTTCTTTCTTTCGTGTTTCGGGGGTTATTTTTTTGGGGGGGAGAGGGAGGGTTAGAGTGTACTGGCGTGACGGGGGGAGGGGTTGAAATAGGGAGGTTGAAGGGGTTTTAAAGGTGGTTGTATTGGGAAGCTTGCGTGTTGACAGACTGACAGACAGACAGATGGGATAAAAAAGGAGTAAAAAAGGTACGAGTTATTTTGTTTTATTGGTTTATCTGTTTGTTTTAGTGAGTTGGTTGAGGGAGGGTTGGTGAGTAGGAGATTAATGTGATGTTTTGAAGGGGGGAGGGGGGGAGGTTGTATTTCCATGGGTGTGAAAGAGAGGTTTGCAATCACACACATTGCATGTTCATTTGCTTGTGTACGTATCTTGCTGCCTGTAACTCTTTCTTATGTACGTATCTTGCTGCCTGTAACTCTTTCTTATGTACGTATCTTGCTGCCCGTAACTCTTTCTTATGTACGTATCTTGCTACCCGTAACTCTTTCTTTTTTGGGGGGAGATGCTCGCGGCATTTTTATGACGGTGTCAAGTCCCGGTGCGGCTGTGAAAGCGATTATGGGATGTGTGTCAAAAGCCAGTGCAGGTGTGAAGATAATTCTGTTAGTCTTTACGGTAAATTTGTGTGAATTTCGTTTATTCTCTTTTTGGCATTTGATGATGTATAGTTAGTTATTTATATGTTTGTATTTTGGTGATTCCACAACCATTCATTACTTGACAATTGCCAGTGAGAAGTTGTTTATTTATATTGTTATGTTGGTTACATACAGTGTTTTAAACAATATAGTGAGCAGTTTTGTTTATGTGAAGGTGTGTGGTTGTGTGATTGCAAATTGTATGCAGAGATTAAACTATTACACTGTTTTTAAGCTATAGAGAAAAATTCACTTTCACTTTCTACTCCTTACAGCAAATCTGTATCCCCATATGCTTTACCTCATGAGTAATATTTGTACAGATTTTGGTTAAATGCTGTAAATCAGTGTTTCTTCTTTTCTGTATCTGCATAGTAGCAATAATGATAAGTAACATTTTATTATTTGTGTTATCTTGTTTGTTTGTTTTTGTAATATTTACTCTGTAATACACCCTGTGCTGCCAGTCACAGCAGGCAGGACCAAGATCCTGAGCACAGAAATAACATCCTTCCTAGAGTGGGAGCTCTTCCAGTCATGGCTCATGGCTGGTTTGCTGGTGGAAATGTGGGCTTCTTTCCTGGTAGAAATGATGCAAGAGCCTCTTCCTAAGTTTCTAATCTTCCTCCCAAGAGCTTTGTACACTTATGGCAAGTTATTCCCATCACCTCAGCCTTCAGCCAATTTTTTTCATGACAGTGTATTCCCCTCATCCTGGCCCTCAGTCAGATTATTCCATGATATAATGTTGTTGGGATTCAAGGGGTTAACCCACTGTCACCATACTGGCTAAAATGCTGAATGTCCAAAGCTCCAGGGATGCAGTTAAACTTAGGCAGGCATCTGGCACTCTTTGTTTTCATGGCATTTATGCTGTGATATAGACATATATTGACTATTTTCTACCAGATGTCTTTGGCCACCATGATGACACCCTGGTATGAAGTCTGCACCTTGAAAAGGCTGTATACTGCACATAACCCTGACACAATGGCCACTTCCTGTATATTATGGCTTCTAATTAGCATTAGGAAGCAGATGATAGGAACCATGATAGGAACTGTTACCAAGACCAACACACCCTCCAGAGACTAAGTCCCAAAACCAGATTTTTTTTTTTTGTATATTTCTTCTACGCAATGATCTTGGGGAACTGGAGATTGAAGGCGGGGATAATGGACGGCGCTGGGTGTGAAGCGGAACCTGGAGAATCCAAAGCAAGTGATTTTGAAACATAAAATACTCAAACTTTTGAAAAGACGAGGCAGGCTTTGTGTCCTGAAAACATTAGAAAAGTTTGTTTCTCGATATGGGCCGGCTTCATCTGACGTATCCAAAATAGAATAGCTCCTAAGTAAACAAGCATAAAACAATATGTTCAAAACATCCTTATTCAGTAAAGTCAAGCCAAGTTTCAAACAATATAGTTATATTAATAAAAACTGTTTCGTCGCACTTAAGTAACGTTCTGGTATCATGCGAACCCAACCTAACCTATCTTCTATTTATTCCCTAGACAGGAGGAGACAAATCCTCCACCTGTACCCCCCTCTTTCATAGCCCTTCATGAGCCCCCTAACATATGACCTCTAAACTAGGTGGACAGTATGCCATCTCATTAGCAAAGGTTTGACGGATCTTCAGCTCCAGGATGGAAAAATAACAGTGGCCATATACATTCTGAGCACCAGATTCTTTTCCAAAGAAATTAGGTATTTACTCAAATAGAGTAGACTGATGAATTAGGCTAAATAGCTGTAGGCTAATAAAAAGAAGGATATGGCAAGTTCTAGCTATTTCCACTTCTGTCTTGAATATTTTTAACCCATCAATGCCAAGAATTCACGTATACATGGCCTGGCCACTGTAATTTTATTATATTACTATTGTTGACACATTGCCCGAATGGTTTCAGAAACAGTTTCACTTATGCTGCCTTCAAAATTCCATGTCTCACTTTTCTGGACAACTTGTCAGGGCCAGCAGGATATCGAGTCCATGCTCAGAGCCGTCTGAGGCCTTCATCACCCATTTTGCAAGCAGTTCGAAAATAAAACTTCATTATTTTATTATACTGGTACCAGTGTCTTTATTTGACACTGATGCATAGGTAACTTAATATTTGATCTCGACATGGAATTTTAGTAAACAAACAGGAGATGCTACTAGAAGGGAAGAAGATCCTACAAACTAATCAAGAAAGTCAAATTTAAAGGACATAAAGACTTGATTATGCCACAATATGAAGATTAAGATGCAGAAATTTTTGTCAATCAAAGACTAATTTCTCTTCTTCACTTATCAGCTAAGTCAGTCTAAAAAAAAAAAAAATACAACTTAGAAGATAGCACTCACCTACTGTCTGTCATTTGATAGACATTTATGTATAATTTCACAGTGATTTACCAATTTTTGTTTTCAAATGATGTAAAGTACCATTACACTTCATTATTTTAACAAATTTCTTTAATCTATTTTATGCTCTTTAAAATGTATTGTGATGTATGGCACAACATTATGCAATTTGCCAATGTCATTTGGTACACTGAAACACTGAAATTCCACAGGACTATGGGCTCGTTTTATAAAACATTAAAGCTTCAAGTTCAAGCAACAGTGTAAAGTTGATATTAAACAACACATCTACACCTTTTTATATTCTGCAGCAGTAGAGCTCTATACATCCCCTGGTTAAATTGGGCATTTCTTTATTTTCATTTTTGGTTATAGTGTAATAAATGACCACACTGGTAAGGAAAACATGGCAATTGGAAAAGGGTCCTTCCCTGGTTAGGAAGGTTTGTGTTTTTTACGGCCCCCAGCTAGGGAAATACTGCACTGGGGGGAGGGGGGGGTTGTCCAGGGTAGAGCCCCCGGTAGGGAAACACGGCAATCAGTAGGGGGTCTATGGGTGTAGACCCTAGGTTAGGAAGGTTTTCGGTTCACACAGCGATCTTCGTAGTAGTTTATTTGACTAGGTTTGGTCATATCTTCCAAGGCCAAATCCTAGCTCAGGTTTTTCTTTTTCCACATTCCCTATTGAATGAAATTTAGTTTTTGCACTTTCTTTTACTTTTTGACCTGCATCATACCCCCTTCCTTGCCCATTATATATAGATACATAGATAGATAGATAGATATAGATATATTGTATATATATGTATATATATACATATATATATGTGTGTGTGTGTGTGTGTGTGTGTGTTGGAATTTGCTCTGATATGATTTAAATGCAGTTTGCTACATTCTCATCCAAAATATCTGATTAAAGAGATGCACATAAAAATATCAATTGTGGTTGCTCTACTTTATAATTTAACCCATTGCTGCCAGGGAAAATGAACAAAAAATGGGGAAAATACTGTACTCATTTTTTATATTTTTGTGAAATATCTCTCCATAGAGGGCTCTGCTAGTCTTGATTTCACCTTTCCTTGAATTGGCGGGAAAAATCATATTCTTTCTTGTGCTATAAATATAGATGGTGTTATTTTTAACAGCAAATTAGGATAACGTTAAATATTTTCATAAATCAATGAAAAGGGTGAATGGGCGAGACAGGCAGTACTTGTAATTGGCTCACTGTTGACTTAGTACAAGTGTAGCCATCTATGTGTAAAAACAATCAAACAAGTCGACTCACAGTGGGCATGGCATGTACGTACATACCATCCCCGGCGGCAATGGGTTAATCAAGTACTGCAAAAGGATAAAAGAGTTGGCAATTAGATGCTCAGTTTTCTTGCATTGGCCAACAGCATTAGACGTAGCTGCTGCGTTGTATTTGGACTTTGCCAAACCAGGCGTAAGTCCACGTACTTGAAGAAACTGTTATGGGTTGACTTATACATTCTGCAGATTAGTTTTATAGTCTAAAAGTTTTGTTTCAAGAGTTCTTTACTAACCTAACTTTTGTTTTTCTTAAGCTGACTCTGGACAAACAGAAAAATGTGATTCTTGTATTTTTTTTCTTTTCTTTTCTTTTCTTTCTTTTTTGTTTGTTTGTTTCTTTCTCTTCAAAAAATTTTTAGGAACACATTTCCTGCAACTTTACCCTTTTTTTTTTATTTGATTTGCTTGTTTTTATCCAGAATATAAGTATATCAAGTCTGAATTGTATTCATGTTGACAAATGTAGAAAAGGTATGAATGAGAATGAATATCTTCACAATACAAAAGATGTATTTGTCCGGTTTCGGTTATATCTTCGTCAGAAATACATTATCTCTGACGAAGATATATAATTATTTCTGACGAAGATGTAATCAAAACCGGTTAAATACATCTCTTGTTTTGTGGAGATATTCATTCTCATTCATACCTTTTATACCAAGTCTATTTACCTCTGACATGCATTTGGTCCAAATCACAATGCCTGTGAATATGTTGTGGAAATTCAAGTCAGTCTTCAAGGAAACAGTGCAGTTACATTCATCTCTTTACAAGCTATAATCTTGTACCATTTAGAATTCTTTTTGATAGCACATGGTGTAATTTGACTTTCTTGTTGCATTCCTTGGTTTCCTCCTCCTCTTTTTCTTTCTCTTTTATCTCCTCTTCCTCTTTTTCCCTTATTCCCTCCTACTGCCCATCTCTTTCCCCTTCCTCCTCCTCCTCCTCTTTCTCTTTTATCTCCTCTTCCTCTTTTTCCCTTATTTCCTCCTGCCCATCTCTTTCCCCCTCCTCCTCCTCCTCCTCTTTCTCTTCTTTCTCCTGTATCCTCTTCTCTTCAGAATAGAAACATACATGTCCATTTATAAATCATGGTTCTGCAATGTACATGTCATAAACAGAAATTGCAGCATGAGAATGACTTCGAGAGCACACTAGTATTCTGTTGTGATGACTCTTCCCACCCCCAACATCTTTCTCTCTCTTTCTCTCTCTCTCTCTCTTTCTCTCTCTCTCTCTCTCTCTCTCTCTCTCTCTCTCTCTCTCTCTCTCTCTCTCTCTCTCTCTCTCTCTCTCTCTCTCTCTCATCTATCATAAGTTAAGGGACCCAAAAGATTAATATGTTTTTCTTTTTTTCTTCCTCTTTTTCAGACACCTCGAAGGTGCTTCCACACATTTTCTGCAAACTTGCCTTCCGCTGCTCCCACAGCAGATGGTTTGTGCATGGGACTCTGTGAGCTTCTGAATGAGCAAGGACACTTGGGTAATTCTGGATTCATGAATGACATGAACAGAAGTCCAACACCCTTGGGCACTGGCAGACCTCCTCATGATGTCTTCGAGTTTAAGCACCGCCTGGCAAGGCCTCCGTTCCGCCCACCGATGGGGATGGAAATGGGGATGATGCCCGGCCACCCAGCCCCTGTGATGATGGTGCCAGGGCAGCCGGGACCTCCCTTCCCAGGATCGCCCATCTTCCGGCCCCCCATGGCTGATGGGCACCCCATACCCCCCCTGCCTCCTCCCCCTGTACCTCACATGGTTCCCCCACACATGCGTCCCCCTCATGCTCCACATCTGCACTCGCCTCATCCATCCCATCCACATGCCCTAGCCCCATCTCACCCCATTCCACCACCGCATCCACCTCCCCCATCTCATCCTCCACACCCATCGTTACCTCTGCACCCTCAGCCTCCACACATGCCAAATACACTCATACCACCAGGCACTCAGTTCCCACACATGCCCCCAGGCGAAGCAAAGCCGCCTCCACCCCTACCCCCCGATCCACAGGCTCCACCGCCTGAACTGAGTGCGCTTCCCCCTCTTCCGTCTAGTAAGTTAGCAGTCCAGCCTCCTCTCCCTCCTCTTCCACCTCTTCCACCTCCAGTAGATATATTGAAGCCCCCGCCACCCAAAGAACCGCCACCCCCAAGCCCAGTTAAGAAGCCTCCTTTGCCCTCCTCTTCGCCCCCACCACCCAAGTTGCCACAGCCCTCTGCAAGCAATGCTACAAGTTCCACCGCCCATAAACAACAGAAACAACAGGAAGAAAAGAAAAACATTGCCAAAGCTCCTGCTGGCAAACCAATCCCAAGTATTGTGTCTTCCCAGCCCTCAGGGAAGCCAGCCCACCAACAGTCCACCAATGGTACCACAAACCCCCGAAATAATGTGTCCCGCAGAAACCACACTCCCACCCCTCCACCACCCCCTCTTATGCACATGAATACTCTACAGCCGGCTTTCTCGTATGTGCCAAATGAAGATGCCCAAGGTGCTGTTATGGAGGAGGAGCCTTACGACCCTGAGGAAGCCATGTTCTCTCCTTCTTCGAGTACTGAATCTTCCCCAGTTGAGGAGAGTCAGGAAGATTCCCTGATAAACAAGTATGTAAGAAACCCCAAAGCTGGAACTTCAATGGAGAACTTCACCAGTTCCCTCAAAACACCTGAAAGAGTAAAGTCAGACACCAAGAAGAAGAGGGTGTCTTTCTCAAATGAAGTCTCCTTCTCAGGCGAGAGCAAGACTCCTCAAGAATCTCCGGCAAGACCAAATCTAGACACGAGACTCAAGATCATGTTTGGCACAGGACCCTCTGTCAGCGACCCTTCGCCTCCCAAAGTAAAGAAGTCACTAAGTAAACTACCTCTATCTTTAGACAAGCAGGACAAGATGGAGAAAATGGATGACATAGATCAGCCACTGTCTCCAACTCCTTCCCCCTTTATTTCTAGACACATGTACCTCTACTGGCACAGGGAGACTGTGAAGTTAAGAAGAGCATCCAAGCTCTCAAACATGGACTTTGTAGATTCAAATTCAAAGGCACAATTAAATATTGATGGTAATGCAGGAAAGGCTAGTGTTAAACCCCCGGTGAATGGCCAGGTACTAACCCCAGGTATTTCTCCTTTAGTGGGGATACCTCCCCTGCCCAAGAATCTCCCCACTGTACCCCCTCCAAATTACAAAAAGCCTCTTTCAGAACACGTGACTTTCAAGGATAATAGTCTGAAAGCCGAATCCAGCCTGAAAAATGTAGGACGCGTCCATCCCTATAAAGGCAGCCAAAATAGAAGGAGTAACACCATAAAGACAAGCTCTTTAGATGCAGAATTTGAGCTAGCATGTGAAAGCTTCCCCTTAGATATTTTGAATGAAAAGATGGACAGTTCAGAAATTAATAATAAAGATGTTAGTTATCCAAAAGACAAAACAGTGAACCTTGTCATGAAAAGGGTGCTTGAAGACCTACGGAAAGCTATCCGCTATGAACTAACAAAAGAAATCTTAGATAAAAAGTTAAAAAAGTGCCTTAAAACTAAGTAATGGTTGTTAGTTATCTCTACAGACTTTCTTACCAGTACAAACCTCAACAAAAACTAAAAAAAAAAAAAATTGCTTCACATCTTTTTGAAAAATAGGCTTGAAGTGATAGCCAGTAAATATTGCTCACAGTTCATAATGAAATAAAAAAGTGGTTTTGCAGGTGTTCATATGCCAGGAGGTATGTGTCTTTAGAAAATCAGACCATTGAGTTATTTTTCTTCTTTTTCTTTTTTTCAGATAATAGAATTCACTATTTTTTAATCAACATTTTTGGAGATCCTTCCGTGTATATTTCACATCTTGTTATGTCATTGTTGATGCAAGCTTTGTCTTGGTGTAACAGAAATGGTTTCCCGGTAAAGAATGGACTTGAGGGATTGTTGTCTGTGTTCTATATTATGATTATTGTCAGTATTTTTTATTTAAATAATGTTTTTTCTTTCTTTTTTTTCTGATGTATATTTATACGTTGTACTGTGATGAATCTGTTGTCAGTCAGTATTACTTGAGTTACTATTTCATGTACTATGAATATTACAAAGGGACTTTTTACACCCCCACCCCTCAAAAAAAGAACACAGTTTGTTTCATTAAAAAAAACATATATATATCTAATAACAAATCTGTGAATGCAAAGTTTTGTTCCTTATTTTGGTTCATATGAGATTTTGCATTTGATAATACAAAAATAGATGCATAACTTCCCTGTATTTATCTTTTGACTTCTTTATTCAGGAACTTGTTTATTCAGGAAAAACAAAGTCTGAAATGGTGTGTCTGTCTTATATTGTGTCACCTGTTTGTGGATATGTAGCCTGTACATTGGGTTTTAATTAATTCAAGATCCAGCTAAATTATTATAATGTATAATGTATCCTGGTATTATCTTATCTCTACAGCTCTTCCTCCTCCTCTCTCTCTACTCCTCTTCCTATCCTCCTCCTCCTGCCACTTCCTCTTCTACTTCCTCTTCTACTTCCTCCTCCTCCTCTTTCTCCTTGCTCCTTCTCCTCTTCCTTCTTGCTCCTCCTCTTCCTCCTTACTCCTCCTCATCTTCTTTACTCTGCCTCCTCTTCATCTTATTCTTATTCTTCTCCCTCCTCCTCCTCCTCCTCCTCCTCCTCCTCCTCTTCCTCTTCCTCCTTTTCCTCCTTTTCCTCCTCAGTTTTGGTTTGATTGAATATTGAAGTTTTCCTTTAATTTTACTTTAATTTGCTTTCAAACAAGAGTGGAAGGAAAAAAAAAAACATTTACAACGCTTCAAAGTGATGGTTGTATAATTATCAACATTTAGATATGCATATGTTAATGACTTTATTCAGATTTTTTTTTATTTTTTTTATTCCTCTTTTCTGATTACAGGTTTTATATTTGCGTGTTGTTGATTTTTTTTTCTTTCTTTCGTGATTATAAAATATGTGTAGAAAAGAGAAAGAAATCTCATCTTTTACTTCATTTGTTTTGAAGAACCAGGTAATATTGTCAATGTGTGGTACAGTGATGAATACTTAATCATGTTAGCATGTTAAGAAGATGACCATTTTTTTATTATTTATAAAAGGAAAATTGGCAATAGGATGACTTAACTTTTATCTCTTAGTCTTTCAAAAGCAGTGAAATAAGGAAAAGTTTTTGCGAGACCTTTTCAAACTTTGTACAATATATATATTTCACGCAGTGTATTTATAAGGAGTGCCCCGCCCCCCCCCACCCCATATTCCCTTTGCTCCTAGCATACCTCCTCCCACATACTTATTTTTTGACTAACTTAATCTGAAATGAATATTTTTGCATAAAATTACAAGATGTATGGAGTTGTTTTAAATCATCGTCACTTTTCTCTCTTTTTACGACAAGGTATTTATAATGCTAATATGTCACTAGCCCTTTTATGGGACTGACGTCAGCTGAGGGTCTCTCTTTGAGGTCTTAAAGCCTCGGAAGTTTGTGCGACATGCACTGAAGTGTTGGTATTGCGTGTTGCATCTTAACTCTGACAAGGTGTAGTATATATATACTACACCTTGTAGTATATATATACTGGTCTTCCCTATGTAGATAATTATTGTACAATAGAGCTATTACTATGAAGTACATGTTAGTAAGTATTTTGAGGTGTTTTATAATCCTAATTTTCTTCATGCTGTCATGTTTGTCGTTATAGCAAGGAGCAGCATTTCATTTCTCTTTTTCAAAATAAAGGTTGAATTATGAAATGAAAGTTAAAAGATGTATAATGAAAGATCACAGCAGAAGTAACATTAGTAGCTTCGATAACTGAAGCTTAGATGTTTATACGTTTTTTTTTTGTTTTTTTTTTGTTTTCTTTCTTTTTTTTGTTTTTTTTTTCTTTTCCTTTCTTTCTTTCTTTCTTCATAATAAAGAAATGGAGAAAACTTTGAAGAATATGCAACTTACGAAGATATTTTTTAATTGGTATATTTTTTAATCAAAGTTAATATTACAGATGCTATCAAGTTCACACATTATGTAGAGGTGACTTTTAATGTCAAAATAATAACTAGTAATTGGTGAGTATTTGAATACCATATCTTTTGAGAATGAAGTCATTACATTGTAGTGTGAGAAAGTTGTTTGCATTTTACCTCGAGTCACAGTTACTTCTGACTTCACAAGGGACACAGTCTAACTCGAAAAAAATGCAGGTCCAAATATATCAATTGCAGGTCAGTCAGTCCTGCCAGTTAACACACTAAACCAATTGTCTTGTGCTGCCTGTGGGAGAGTGAAATGGGCAAAGTTTCATAGTAGTCCATTTATGAGAGTTCCTAGGCACACACTCTGACAGACGTAAGTATTTTTATATCTGTCAATCCATCTATTTTTCCCTCCTTTTCTATATGTATCTTTATATTTACACTCACATATACGCATACTCGTACACAATCATTAAGTTATTTTTTTAATGATACTGTCTATTATTGCATTTGGCATCTTGTGGTAGTTTTATTGTATTGAAGATTACTTAAGTAGTGTAATAGGAAAGGGAATAAATTTGATATGAAAAAAGCCTGTCCATGTATACAGGCTTTAATAGACATTTAAAGATTGATTTTTTGAAGAGAGTCTCATAAACCAGTCTCAGTTTCTTGGCAATAGAAAAAAATTAAGTAAAGTGTGCACACATATCTAACATCTTTACTAATGTATAAGCAACAAAATAATGCAAGACAGAAGCTTGCAAAAAAGAGATATCATCCATAAATAACAAAAATATTGCATGGTGATGACTGCAACAGAGAAATAACTAAATATTGCTCACATGCTGATCCTTAAATTTCAGAAAAGTTACGAAATATCAGTGGATATATTAGTAGTTCAATTCAAAAGGTCTGCCTTGGGTTTGAATATTCGAGCAAAAGTAAAATGTACGAGAACTTCACTTGATATGGAAAGATGAAAAAAACACTTTGTACACTTTACTCAGTACTGTCTTTAAAGTATTGAGGATTATAAAAGAACAGTAGAAATTATAGGAACCACTAGTTGACCAAAGTATGTATAATTACTTTTTTTTTTTTGTGTGTGTGTGTGTGTGTGTGTCTGTGTGTCTCTCTGTCTGTCTGTCTAATGTTCTTTGACCAATTTCATATTTAGAGGACGTGATCTACATCCCCTTAGGCTTCAGAATCATTTTGAAGAATAAAAAAGGCAAGAGTCAAATACTCATCAGAATCATTATAATTATTATTATTATTATTCTAATTAATATTTTTGGTATTATAATTATTATCGCCAATTCTCAAATCATTATCATTGTCATTATTATTTGAATGATTAGTATTATCAATAAAAACGTGCATCATTGATAATAATATTATTGATCACTATTATTATTAATAAAGTTCTTATATTGATAACAACAAGAGATAAGATAGTTATCAATATTATCAGTAGTAGTAGTTGTAATTAATACATATATCTTCTGACATGGAAAATTGTTCAAATGGAAGGTCTCCACAACTATATCATAGACTAAACAGTTCTAGATAGTAATGGAGTTATACTTATAAGGTAAGGTAATGATAATAATAATGATGATAATGATAGTGATGATGATGATGATGATGATAGTAATAATAATAATAATATTGATATTAATAATGTTAATATCTACTGAAGGCAACAGGATTTCACTTCTTTGAGAGTTACAGATGTACAACTAAATATAAAATATATTTGGAATTACATTTTTCAAAGTAGATTTTATGTGAGGTAATTATTATTGCCATTAAAATTTCCACATGAGGATAAAGTAATTACTTCTGCCTAGAGTTCTGAGTAATTTTTGAAAAACTTAGTATCTCGTAAAATGTCACAGAACAGAGGTTCCCAAAGTCGAATAAACAGGATTTTTAGGCATGGGGGCAGGATTTACTCCATAAGCTTTATTTATTTATTTTATTTTATTTTTTTTTTTTTCTTCTTCTTCTTCTATTTTCTCTTTCTTTTTCTTTTTCTTTTTCTTTTTCTTTTTCTTTTCTTTTTCTTTTCTTTTCTTTTCTTTTCTTTTCTTTTTCTTTTCTTTTCTTTTCTTTTCTTTTCTTTTCTTTTCTTTTCTTTTCTTTTCTTTTCTTTTCTTTTCTTTTCTTTTCTTTTCTTTTCTTTTCTTTTCTTTTCTTTTCTTTTCTTTTCTTCATTCACATTTATATTTATAGTCATCTCATTTTAAGATCTTGTTAGACTTACCAGATTGAGTAACATTATTAAGTAATTTGTCTTATATTACTTAACAAATCCTTTTTTACCCATGTCTACTGGCTATTCACACTGTCTACTGTATTTTTCTTTTGTGAATTTTATTTGCACACAGATGGCTGCACAAGTAATCAGCAACTAAGGAGCCACTTACCATACTTGCATGACCTCGCCTGATTTTCCTTATCCATGAGGTTTCAGAAAAAAAGAAAAATTAAACGTCATTGATAGTGATGCTATTTTTATTAAATTAGGATTATTATAATGTTACCAATAGTACTTACAGCAGCAATAAAAAATATAGGAAAAGGGTAAGTAGATGAGTTAGATAGGACTAGTATTGACTCCTTGGTGGTTAAGCCTTTGCAAAGTCATTAATGTGTAAAGAAAATTAATATAGAAGAAGAAAATTCAGACATGGTACATATTAAAGGGATCTTAACATCGCTGGGTTGAAAGTCAAGGCAGAATTACGAGTAAGATTTAAATGTGATAGTTTGATGACGTAAAACTTCAAAGGACGATTATTTAAGAAACCATGTAAAGAAGGACAGTCATTAGAGGCTAACTGTTGGTTCATTAATAGAAGTAGTTAAAAAAATGTCAAGACACTTTTCTTTCTAAAGTTATGACAAAGTTGCGGATCCATTTAGATCTGGAGCAACGTTTTTTCTGCATCGAACCCTTTTAGAAGGTCTTTAGTAACCATAAAAAAATTTACTTGAATAATCTCATGTGGTATTTGAAAAATTATTTTAAAGTTGTAGAGAATGCAGAAACATAACATAAGTGGGTCTGGATAATGGTCTTGCAGTTCTAATTTTAGTATTTATCACAAAGACCATAATGGTAGGATAGTCTGGCCAATGTAAGTGTGATTTTTTGGTCAGTTTACCTCAAAACTTTGGTTGAATTTTGTCTTCATGAAAGATTTATGCCATATTTTTTTATGTGCATAATAATTATTGATAACAATTTTTCATGATGAATTTGCTCTTCAAAATATAACTTGATAAGTTTATATCATAGTTTATCCATAGTTTATTACCAACAAAATAAAATGTTTCAGAATTTATTGACACAATGCACAAATACAGTGAGAAGTACAAGTAATTTAAAGACACAAGTTAGGTATGCTGAAAAGTAGACAGAACATTTATAAGTGTACCTGAGTTAGCATCAACACACTTGAACAACATTCAGAAGTCCTTAGTGATGAAAGGCTCACTGGTGTTTAAGAAACTCTGCTGTAAGTAAGATTCCTCATTGTCAACAATCAATGTAGATTAGAAATATGTGATTCTTTTAGGGAACTCTTTTGTGAATGTAAGCCTTGAGGAACTTATTTTCCAGAACTTTATCTCAAACCTTAAGCATTTTGACCACAAATTGAACTGGATCCCAGAGTGGTTACCTGTCTATGTTGGTCTTCATTAGTTAAGTTCACTTTTATGGGCAACATTTTTTTTTGTATGGGCTTGTTTGATTGGGACATGTCAGTCAGTAAAATCCTCTTTTCAGCTGTGGAGTTAAAGAAAAAGGAGACTGAAATAATATACACAACTAGAGGAAAGGGACATCAAACAGGGAACAGCAGTTGGCATCATCCTGTTGCAGAGTTAACCTTCAAAAAACACCAATATAGGATAACTTGAAACCCGAGTGTCTTCCCCAAAGTTAAGGTGTAGCGATGATTGGTATTGTTCCAGGGTCTGTTGTGAGGGAAGGAAAATTAACAGGATACGTGAGCCATCCTTCATTGAGGCTCCTTCAGTTCTGATGATACAGTTCTCGAGGCTACTACTTAGCACCCCAACAGGTATAATCATAAGAACATGTCTCTTGATCCTCCCCATGTACTTTTAAATCTATTGTATGTACTGGAGCCAAGGATACATAGATAGTTGTGGTTATTGCAATGGAATTATTCAGATACTTAAATATGTATTGTGGGATACGTATTGTAAACCCTTTTACCTTTTTTTCATTATAGCTTATATTATCATGACTTGTACCATTTCAGTACTCTAACAATTTCATATTTCAATCATCACCATTTGTTTGCATTTATTCATCTCTGCAATTTGACCTTTATTGAAGTATTTATGGTATATTTATCATTAATTCATGCTTTTAGATACAGGTGGTCCCTGATGCAAGAAGGAAGGGAGAAAATGGAATGATAAACACAATTCAACGAGATCTGGACAATTTGAATTCCTTTAGGCTGGTATATGTGATCTGTTCTCTTTTCCCCAAAATAGTTTTTTAGGGGTTATAATTCAGTATATGTTAAGTTTAGAACCTAATGATCCCTGCTAATTTGATGTTTCTGATTGTTTTTAGGGTGGCTGTTAAGCTCTCCACAAGCTTGCTAATTGAAGCTGCAAA